GGACTTAAAGTTAATCAAAGTCTTGCAACGATGGCACGTGGTAAGACAATATGCACAGAATATACGATGTTTAGTCATCGAATATTATAAATCTGGGAATACTTTTGGTGAAATAGCCAAACAATTCAATCTGGCTAAGTCGTCAGTTCAAGAAATTGTAATAAATTTTGAGAAAAACGGAAATATTAAAAAAACAAGTAAAAAAGCTAAAGTCGAGTGTGCCGACTTTGAAATACTCTGTACATATGTTTACAAAAATTATAGCAAAAAAAAAATTAAGAATTTTAAAAAAAATTTCATCGATTTTACGTTTCTCGGTATTCGAACTCACGTAAAGGGTGTATAATTGCACATATACAAAACAATTGCGACTATGTGAGTGTATGCATGTCTATGCGTGTTTATTCGTGTCTGTGTGAGCATGTTTGCAGTCAACTAAAGCACCAACTAAAGAACTGCTGCGGGCAGCGCTTGGGCAGCACTTACAGCTGTGATCAAAATAATAGTAGTGAAATGGTGTTTTAATGAACTTAAAATAATTTGTATTATTAAGTATACAAGGTGCAATTCAAAAGTTCCAGGACTTTTATTAAAAAACGAAAACTATTTTTTTTTTTGAAAAATTTATTGGTCGCCTTCAAAATAGTCTCCTTCCGCCTGAATACAACGTTTTGCACGTTCAAGAAGGTGATCGAACGACTTTTTTAGGTCATTTGTCGGTATAGCGTTGAGGATGGCGGTCGCCGCCTGTTGGATGGCATCAACGTCAGCATAGCGGTTTCCTTTCATGGCCAAATGTAGTTTTCCGAAAAGGTAGAAGTCGCACGGTGCCATATCAGGTGAATACGGCGAGTGGTTAATGGTTAAAATGTGATTTTTGATCAAATAATCGGTCACAATCGGTTGATTTTTGAGCAATTTTTGGTCGTCAGTCAATTTGTGCGGAACAAACCGTGCACACACCTTTCGTAAGCCCAAATGTTCGGTCAAAATCCGATAAATCGATGTTTTGGAGATGTTCAATTCCATTTCCATCAATTTCAATGATGATTTCGGCTGATTTTTGATGAATTCACGCACTGTTTTGATGGCATTTTTGGTGATCACGAATTTTGTTTGGCCCACATGTTGATCGTCATTTATGTCCTCACGACCACTTTGAAAACGTTGAAACCACTCGTGCACTCTGCTACGGGATAGGCAATCATCGCCATAAACTTGTTTCATCAATTTCGGTAAAAGTTTTATCAATTTTAAAACAAAATTTAATGTTGGCTCTTTTTTTCGAAGCTCATTTTCCGACCGATAACACAAACATACTGACACTTAAAACGCAATAACTTCACTTCCAATCGATGAAATGTCATAATATTCTCACTGGACAATCGATAAAGATAGCAGATTCTAACGCACCAGTCGACATATAGATAGCGCCACCAGGGGGCGCTAGCTTCAAAAAGTCCTGGAACTTTCGAATTGCACCTTGTAGTATATTAACAAGTAAATCATAAAGAAATAACAACAAATTCTTGAGATCTGGAGACTGTGCCGGCCATTCTAGTACATTGATCCTGTTAGTTTGAAACCATTGTTTGGCAACATTATTGGCAACGGATCATTATCCTGCTAGAATACCCAAATTAGTGGCATATGGCAGCATAATATTCTGCATTATATGCACATAAAGGTGGCGATCCATGACATTCCGGATCCAATATATGTAAGGCAACGCGCCGTAATATGAAAAACTGGCTCAGATCATAATACGAGCTCCTCCGTGTTTTTTTCGGTTTTCGTTGTGAATCGAGGGTGCCATTCAGTATTTGGTGGTCGCCTAACATACTGACGAGACCCAGTTCCACCATAAAGCGCGATTTTTGATTCATCTGACAATAAAATGTTTCTCCATTACTGCACTGGCCAATCAATGTGGTCTTGGGCAAATTTAATTCGCTTGTCCAGATGTTTTTTTGTGAAAAGGGGCACTTTCCTTGGACTCTGAGCCAAATTATTTTGCAGTAGGCATCTCCGTATTATTAGTGTACTAATATGGATTTAATTCATCTCTTATATCGGTATAGCTCGCAAATGGGTTCTGCCTAAAGTATCTCACTACACGGCTCGCCAATTTATCTGACATAGCGCGATGTCCTCCACGTGTTTCAGGGCCTGGGATGAATTTTATAGCATTACACACCGTTGTAGGAGAACAACCTCCTATATTTTGAACTTCATTGTAAGTTTTTCCCTTAGATATCCATTTTTGAAATGTGTATTGGAAACTATTGAAAACTATTACAAAATAATAGAACTTACTATTTGCAAATTTTCGTGAGCTTAAGGAGCGACACTTAATATTTTTGGAATGTTTGTGCAAGCACTACTATTATTTTGAGCGCGTAGAATAGGGACAAGCTGTGGAAAATGCAAATAACAACAACAAGTGCGCAAAAAGCTAAAGTAACGCGACATTTTATTGTGCTCTTGTTGTAGATCAAATAGGTAGAAAGAATGGATTAAAAATGAAAGGAAACACAAAAATACGAACGGTAGAACGTAGAGAAAAATATCACTACTATTATTTTGAGCACAACTGTATATTTATGGCTTTTACTTCCTGCTAAATCTGTCTATCATAATGAAACTTGGCACACGGACACATAAGCACTAAAAGGATATAACTGCCGAAATTGATTTTAAAATTCCAAGAAATCCGGAAGTTATGGAAAAAACACGAAAATAAACTTGACCTGCCTAAGACTTAGGGGAATCTCGATACCAAGTTTGGTTATTCTAGCTCTTGTACGTCCTGATATCCTTGCGCTCATACGAACAGACGGACATGGCTATATCGACTCGGCTTGTCAGCCTGATCAGTAATATATATACTTTGTGGGGTCTGCCACGCCACCTTCTGTGTCATACATACATTCGCACAAAACTAGTATAGCCGTACCCAAAGGGTAAAAGGCTATAATAAAAGTAAAAATCTAACATGCAAGAATTTCTAATAAACTTATGAAAACAAGTTGCCCAAATATCAATTTTACTGAGGTATTAAAAACGAATTTGTATTCGGTTATACCTCCTCGAACTCACGTAAAGGGTATATAACTGCAACTAACTAGCAGTAATAACAAAGGGTGTCGGCAGAAATTACATGTATGGCTATAACTTCCTTTCGAATTGAGCTATCAGCGATGTGTTGCAGAGGCCAAAGGCCATGTTACCCAATATTAATATTCAAAAATATTTGTATTTTTAATTAAATAATAAATATGTTACGTAGCGTACGAATTAATAGTGGTCACACTTTTCTCATCAGTTACTCAAAGCATTTAACTAAATTAATGTTATAGTTGCAACATTTTTTTCTTCTAAAGTTAAGAGAATAAAATTGTCTTTCAGAAAAAAATATAATTGCATGTGTTATATACATTAGTATTGAAAATATCGTCTGTTAAACATTGCATATGGCTAAAAAAGCATGACGTACGAATTAATAGTGGTCGGGGCTCGTATATAAAAACAAGTAAGGAACCTAAAGTTGGAGTTCCCGAACTTGCCTAAGACTTAGGGGAATCTCGATACCAAGTTTGGTTATTCTAGCTCTTGTACGTCCTGATATCCTTGCGCTCATACAGACAGACGGACATGGCTATATCGACTCGGCTTGTCACCCTGATCAGTAATATATATACTTTGTGGGGTCTGCCACGCCACCTTCTGTGTCATACATACATTCGCACAAAACTAGTATAGCCGTACCCAAAGGGTAAAAGGCTATAATAAAAGTAAAAATCTAACATGCAAGAATTTCTAATAAACTTATGAAAACAAGTTGCCCTAATATCAATTTTACTGAGGTATTAAAAACGAATTTGTATTCGGTTATACCTCCTCGAACTCACGTAAAGGGTATATAACTGCAACTAACTAGCAGTAATAACAAAGGGTGTCGGCAGAAATTACATGTATGGCTATAACTTTCTTTCGAATTGAGCTATCAGCGAGTACCGAATCTAAGAACAGTCTATCTTGTTAGAAAACAATATAATCATCGCAACGCGCAATAATAATGTAATTGCCACAGAAGCAGGTAGGATCTAGCGAGTACTGTCTACCCAGTTATCCAATGCGCGGCTCACGGGAGTATCAATCCGGAGTCGAGGAAGCACGAAAACAACGTTTAATGATAAGCGGTTAGACCAACGCTTGTTATATTCACGCTATCTCTCTAAAGCCAACACGATTATTTTCGAGCATAATTTCGTTAATTTGTCCGATTTTATCTTCGTTACCAGAGGTGGGTAAACAAATTATATGAGGCAAGTATTTTACAATAAAACAAGATAGAAAGCTACAGTCGAGCAAGCCCGACAGTGTAATACCCTGTACCCAGGTAAACTTCCGTCACTGAGTTATATGCGCCCATAGCAGCAGCAAAAAGAGGAAGAAGAAGAGCGAACTTGTTGCTGCAGTTTGCGTTCTCTCTTGTTTTTTTTTAATTCTCTTACTTTTTTTAATTTCTATAAATTTTTTAAACATATGTACAGAGTATTTCAAAGTCGGGTCACCCGACTTTAGCTTTTTTACTTGTTAATAATTCAGTAGCCGTAATTTCAATAGAATTCAACATTTCCAGTTAGGTTAGGTTAGATGCGGCAGCCAGGGTGAAGTACCCTGACCCACTTAGGCCCTGAAGATTGGCCCATTGTGATACCGCGTGGACTGATCCACTTCCCAGTTTCCCGTGGTTAACTGCGTGTCACATTTCCAGTTAACTCGTTTATTTGTTTTTCGAATGACGGGATATTTGATAGTTGGGCTCATTTTGCACTCCATTCTAACCACGACCTGGACATGGAATTCATTGTGTCAACATTTCAGCTCCCTTAAGAGTTACTTTTGGGTCTCGGGTATTACTAGTTACCTATATACTATATGTATAAATCTATGTATGTAGTATGTATATAGGTTTAATCATGAGCGCGAAATACCTCTTTATCCGTGAAGTGTGACTTATCCTTCTCTTGCTCGGGCGTCAAGTGCAATACTGTCGTCGATGTTGAATTAGCATGGTTTTTCAACACATAGCGTTGTATATCTAGATTCTCCCAACAAATCAAAGTTTCAACTGACCCCAGTTCCAAAGCACGCAAAGTGTCTTCAACGCCAAAGCAATATTTACCTGTATCCTGCCAAAACAAAAGCAAATCTGAAGTCATATTTTTCACAATTTTTAAATTTCTTACTTGAGATATTTCATCAAAATAACGCCCAATGAGCTTCTTTTCTTGTATGAATTTAACGTTTTGCAAAGACTCAGCAGCAAGTTCTATAGCCTGATTGAAACCGTTTTCACCACCATAAGAGACGTCCACCAATTTAATTACTTTTGATTGTAAACGCTTCAAAGTAATAATAACAATTTATGAGTAAAATTTTAGACAAAATCACAGCAACCTACAGGGTCAAACATGTCAGACTGGCTGAGCTCAGTTTTGAAGTCCGCACTACCGGCAAGAATTAGTCCCGCGATGTTTGGCTTGTCGTTTGTGATAAACAGCTGGGTTGCCACTTCGGCAACTTTGCGTACATAATTATGGCGCTTCTCCATGCGTAAACGAGCGAATCGCAGCGCTGATTGACCACCGCGACCATGCTTTTTAGGTAGATCTACAGTAAATTTATGAAGCACCTCGCGTGTATTTCCTTGCAACGTTCCAAAGAGTGCACCGTTACCGTCCATTACAATAAAGCCGAACTTATTATCGTCAGCGAGTAGTGCAGTTAGTGCTTCAGTATGAAATTTATTGTCGCAAAGATATAGTGAGGTATTTATAGGCTTGAATGGCTCAAAGTCTATGTTAACCTTCTTTTCTTTGCCTTCCTCTGTAACAATTGTGCCACAGTATATAACCAAACCATTGGGAGGCACTGTAAAAAAACATATTCAAAAATGTTCAAAGAATAAATAAATTAAATACGTCGGCATAAATACTCACCTTTCGTATACAACTTAAGCCTATGTTGTACGGATGTTATCGCGCCCAGTACGGAGAGGCGGTTCACACGTGACTTTATATTTGACGCCGTACCAAACTCGTCCGCCAACATTTTGCTGACCCTTGAGATTTGATCCTTAGGCGGAATTATTAATGAAATCATACTGGTTCCATTTCTAAAACAAACAAAATTATTTTTGTTTAAATAAATCTGATGATCTGGATCCTCGATTAATGCGTGAAATGTAGCCCCATTTTGCATGAGAGGAGAGAGAACGACGTATGGCAGACCACACAAAGTACATATATATATTCTTGATCAGCAAGACAAGGCGTATCGAACTTAACCATGTCTGTCTGTCAGTATGAATCAACAAGTAAAAAAGCTAAAGTCGGGTATCCGGACTTTGAAATACTCTGTACATATGTTTAGAATAATTATAGAAATTAAAAAAAGTACAGTACCACTCTTAGCTTCAACTAGTAAAGACGTGTAACTACCAACCGCGAGCGAACCGTGTGCTTATCAGTTAAAGCCAAAAACAATTCTTCACAAACAAACAAACAACCGCACAAAACAAAATTTGAAAAAAAAAATCCAAAAACAAAAATACAGCAGAACAGTTACAAAAACCAAAAACTCAGTAGGGCTCCTGCCCTGTTACACTAGCAATGTCTCGACCACCAGACTTAAATAGTCTTTTGACGAACAAAAACAACAACAATAACCCAAAATTCATCACAATCACTAGAACCGACAACCAAACATTTGAAAAAGTAAATCCATTTGTAATTAAAAAAGTGATGGACTACCAGTGCAACGGAGAAGTTGACACTTGTAAAAAAACAAGAGCGGGAACGTTGTTAATCAAAACAAAAAACACTATGCAAGCACAAAAACTATTGAAACTGACATCTTTCACCGACTTCCCTGTCACAGTTAGCGAGCACAAAACACGAAACTTCTCTAAAGGTGTAATTTATTCGAACGAACTTCGCAACATCGATGAAGCAATAATTTTAGAAGAGTTAAAAACACAAAATATTGTAGAAGTGCGGAAAATAATGAAAAAGGAGAACTTCATACTTAAAGAAACCGGCCTCATCATACTAACTTTTGCATCCCTAACAATTCCGGAAACTATAAGGATAGGATATGAAAGAATCCAAATTCGCCCTTACATACCTCTCCCTCTCAGATGCCGCAATTGTCTGAAATTTGGACACTCATCTACCAATTGCAAGAGCCCTACAGCATGCACTAACTGCTCTGCGGAACAACACACAGCCGAAGACGAATCCTGTACCAAAGAAAAATTCTGCATAAACTGCAAATATGAACCTACTAACCAAAACAACCACAGTCCGTTTGATAAAACATGCCCAGCCTTTGTAAAACAAAAAGAACTTACAACAATAAAAACAATAGAAAAGGTAGACCACAAAACCGCCCTCACAATATATAATTCCCGCCACACTCATCAACCTACACCATATGCAAAAGTCGTCACAGAACAACCATCTAAACCATCCACAAACCATTGCTCGAAGCCCACACATACAACACCATCTACATCTACCCAAATCATCAAACCATCGAATCACACCTTGTCTTCGCAACAAAAACAAAACAGCCCAATAGAAAGAAGTACCACATCCTACGAAGATATCTATGATACAATCATGGATACAATCCCATCCACAACCGAAAAACCAACAGCAAACTTCTCCACTCAACTCACAGAAGACCTTAAACTTAGAATTTATAGTAATAAGCAAAACTCTCTCTCCAAACCTCTTAAATCCAAGGATAAAAACGAACAAAAGCATAAAAACTTCTAATTTATCTTATTTCTCAAACAACACATACATTTTTTTTTTTCTCTTTCTTTTTTTTTTTTTTCTTTTTTTGATAAATGTTAAAAGTCCTGCAATGGAACTTAAATGGTTATTTAAATAATTATAATGAGTTGCAAATCCTCATAAAAAACCAAAACCCTAAAATAATCTCTCTACAAGAGACACACCTGTACACTACACATAACATACCCATCCCAATTAACTATACACTTTACCACAAAAACTCATTGACAAACGGTTACGGAGGAGTGGCACTTCTTGTACACAACTCCATAGAACAACAACAAATCAACATCAACACTTCGTACTTCGACATAGTAGCAGTAACAATACATTCTAAAATAAAGTTCACAATAATCTCATCGTACATTCCACCAAATAAGCCCTTTTCAATAAATAACCTTAGAAATACCTTCAACAATATCACACCACCATTACTAATAACTGGTGATTTCAATAGCTGGCATAGAAGCTGGGGCTCGCAAACTAACAATCTCAGAGGTAACACAATTTATAAATTTATAAACCAATCTTCCCTTTCTACTCTCAATGATGGCTCCCCTACACACTTCACAACACATCACACATTCACAAACATCGATCTCACCATAGCATCCCCCGACCTCGCTCTATTCATAAAATGGAACATAAGCAACTATCTCTCAGGAAGCGACCACTTCCCCATCCACTTAACAATATTCCAAGAAAATAGCCCAAGTAAACCCACCTTCAAACCCAAATTTAATTTAAACAAAGCTAACTGGTCACTGTTTCAAAAACTCACAGACAAATACTCAAATGCAAAACAACCCAGCCAGCAAATTAACCAAGAAACAGCAAACATAGTCAGAATAATTTTACAAAGTGCATATCAATCCATTCCACAGACACACATATATCATGCAAAAGAGGTCCCATGGTGGGACAAAACTCTACAACAGCTCAAAATTAAAAAAAATACAGCCTGGCTAAACCTCAAAAGGAACATTAGTACGGAAAACATCCTTACCTACAAAAAAGTTAATGCCAAGCTCAAGCGTGAGCTTAAAATTAAAAAACGTAACGCGGTGCAAACATTTACAGCAGAAATAAATCCATCCACTTCCACATCAAAAATTTGGTCCAACATCAACAGATTTTGTGGCCTAAATACCCGTCACGATATCCACTGCCTTGTCAATCCGAACAACTCCACACAAACAATAGTAAACAAAACCGAAATAGCCAATACTTTATGCGAATATTGGTCAACCGCATCCTCAGATAACAACTTCCACCCAGAATTTAGATACCACAAAACAAACTCCTGCCATACTATAAGCCACACCCCATCGCCCGTAGCCATGAAAATTGAAAACGATGTGACTCTTCTTGAGTTTAAAGCCGCACTTAATCAACTTAAAGGGAAAACACCTGGAAGAGATCGTATTAGCTACCCCATGCTTAAAAATTTGTCCCCCACCGTTGAAAGTCGACTACTCAATTTATTTAATGAAATTCTAAATGGGCATATCCCTCAACAATTTAAAATCAGCAGCGTCATACCCATACCAAAACCAAACACTGATAAAACCTCTATAAACTCTTACCGCCCGATATCACTAAACTCCTGCATTTCAAAAGTCCTCGATAAAATTGTATCCAACCGACTTTGGTGGCTAGCTACTAACAGCCAGCTACTCGACAGTCGGCAAATGGGTTTCCGAAAGGGAAAATCGGTGTCTGACCCACTAGCCATGCTAGATTTTCAGATCACCTCGGCTCTCTCGACCAAAAATCATCTATCTGTGATCTCATTAGACTTTGCTAAAGCCTTCGATAGAGTGGGAATCCACACAATAGTCGACGAACTCACCACATGGAAAATAGGACCAAAGATAATTAAATACGTAATAAACTTCTTAACAAAACGAAAAATAATAGTCCAAACATATAATGCCCGCTCTACAACAAAACCGCTAATAAACGGAATACCACAGGGATCACCATTGTCAGTAATTCTCTTCTCAATAGCATTCAATAAATTAAACAAAACAATAGCCATACACAAAACATTTCACTTCTCCGCTTACGCTGACGATTACACAATAGTTAAAAAAATCCACAGAACCCAAAACTCTCTCAATATTGACAATCTTTTCGCTGACATAATAAAATGGTGCAACTACTCGGGTGCGTCACTCTCTATCACCAAATGCAAACATCTACATATTTGCCGGAAAAAAGAATGCGTACTTCAATTGCAATCCAACAACTTCACATTAAAAAATGAAAACTATCTCAAAATACTAGGAGTCACATTCACAAAAAACTACAAATGGAATCTACACATAGAAAATGTCGCACTACAACTCACAAACAGACTCAATATTATTAAATGCCTATCAAGCGAAAGATTTAACTGCCACACCACCATACTAATAAATATAATTAAATCCCTCATATTATCCAAAATAGATTACGCCCTTTTTCTATATGGAAGAGCACCTAAATCAACACTCAGCAAACTAAAGACAATATACCACTCGGCATTGCGCTTAGCAACGGGTGCATTTCCAACCACCCCAATAAATAACCTACTGTACGAAACAAACATTCAACCAATAGAATCCAGAACAATCCACGCTACACTTAAAAACTTTAAAACCATAATGACAGCAAATAACTCCCCTTTAGAGGATATATATAACAAATTGAAGAAAAATAAAAAGCAGCTCAAAATCCCATCATCACTAAAAGACACAATAACCCAATGCCATAAACTACAAATTGAAATTTCACCTGTAAAAAACTCAAAACAAATAACTCCACCCTGGTCCTTCCATCACAAATACATTAACTTGACATTACACCTTAATCTAAAAAAAGACACCCAACCAGTCGAATACCAACAAAAATTTTATGAACTCAAAGAATCTCTAAATTACCGACAATTCCTATACACTGATGGGTCAAAATCGACTGCCGGAGTATCGTATAGCGTCACAACGTCGACGGAAACCATCACCTACCAACAACTTCCCCACTTCTCCTCCATTTTTACTGCAGAAATCTCAGCCATACTCGCAGCATGCAAATATGCAGCCAAACAAACTGGTAAATTCGCAATCTGTTCCGACTCCATATCCTCTTTAATAGCAATAGACAACATTAACAACCAAAACTACTACTCAACTACAATAAGAAATATCTTGAGCTCTTACAAAAACAAATTTCTACTTATCTGGGTCCCAGGACACTGTCAAATATTGGGAAACGAAATGGCAGATAAAATCGCAAAAAATGCTTTTAAACACCCACTTAAAACAGAACAGAA